TCTCTCTCTCTCTCTCTCTCTCTCTCTCTCTCTCTCTCTCTGTTGGTCTTTTTTTGAGACAGGGTCTCCCTATCACCCCACTGACCTACTGGTCTCCCATCTGCCAGGGATCCACCCTCTTCTGTCTCTCAAGTGCTGAGATTAAAGATATGTACCACCATGCCCAACTTAAATAAATTTCTTAATGTAATAAAATTTTTTTAACTTTCTCATACAATAATGACCTTCAAGTGAATTTAGTTAAAATCTGTAATTGTTTATTCACTTAATTGTCACCTATAATTCCATAAAGCTGTTCCCACATCTGATTTATTCACTGCTACTTCTTATCAACTACATTCACATACACACACACACACACACACACACACACACACACACACACAGAGTGCCTGGGACATAATAGGTTCTTAGGAGATTTTTGTTGGATTAGTGATCATAGTTTAGGAATCAGATCGTTGGGTGAATAGAAGCCTTTACACCATAGTTTAGCTTGGGAATTGCTCTAAAACTCCACAGTTCTTCCTGGAATGAGGATGGCCTTTCATAATACAGGATGCACCCTTCATACTTTCACCTCATTCAAGAATGAATTTTCCCCATTACCGACTGGGCAGCTCAGTCATTTGGGACTATAACATGAGTAAGTCATAGTTGGTGCAGGGAAGCAGATACATAAGCGTCATCCTTCAAGTTGGTGTGGAAAGGAATGGCTCTCTTGCTGCACAGTCTTCCTGGGTGCTTATCAGCTTGTGTGGATCAGTGATCGTTTCTTTGCCTGATGCCTCTTCAATCTTGATCTCTGGCCTATTAGACCCAGAACATATACTACAGGAAGCTCCAAAGCAGCTTCCCCCAGAGAGTTTGTAAGTTTATAAGCATTCTCTCCATAGCTCCCAATGTTGCTCATCACCTATACTGGGTTGCCCAATAGCCACCTTGGGGTGACCTGAGACTCAACACTGCCCCTACCTTCCATATCCAGTAAGACCCAAAAACTGAATTCAGCAGATAGGGAAGGAGGCTCAGTGGTACAGCACTTGTCCAGCATGAGCAAAGCCCTAGGTTTGATGCTGTACACTACTTGAAAAACAAACCAGCATGAATTCTATGACTATAACTTGAATCTCTTTACTTCTCTCTATTCCTTCTGGACTATTTAGTTCCAACCTTTTTTATCTCTGCTGTAGGCTCCTTGTGCCTTCCACCATCACACAGCAGCCAAGATGGTCATCTTTGAAGGCAGATAGTGGGGCTGGAGAGATGGCTCAGCAGTTAACAGCACTGGCTGCTCTTGCAGAGGACCTGGGTTTGTTCCCAGCACCCACATGGCGGCTAACCACCATCTATAACTCTAGTTCTGGGGAATCTGACACCCTCTTCTGGTCTTCATGGGCATTGCATGACATGGGTGCACTTATATACATGCAGGCAAAACACTCATACACATAATATTTTATTTTTTATTTAAGACTTTTTTTTTAAGACACATAGAACCATTTTGCCTACTTAAAATCCTTCAAAGCCTCCCTGTGGCCTTCAGAAAATGTTCAGGTTCCTCATTGTGAAGTGTGAGGCCCTTTATGATCAATCCTTTGCTTCTCTCCAACCTCCTCTCTGGCGTCTCCCTGCTCTATCAGTGTGCCCACTTTCACTGAACTAGTAATTTCTGGCATACATGATTGCTGTCTTCCCAACCTATTGATTTCCTGCTTCACTAGCTTGGAGTCCTCAGGAGTCCTCCTTCCCTGTTCTTGACCTGGATGCCTCCTGCCTATTTTCTGGACTCAGCAAAAGTATTACAGATCTTCTAGTTGTGATTATATTACCGTAGGAGAGGAATTGAGTGCGACAGCCGTGGGAAAAGCACATGATTAGATAGGCACATTATTAGCAGGATCATCCATGTTCTGTTGTCTTCCTGCTTGAGAGAAGAATGGGACCTCAATGGAAAGTTTCAATGGAAGCTCCTCCCTCTTTGCAGATGCCATCTGTGCAGAGCAGCTCTTAATCTGCATAAACTCTGGAAACAGGCCAAATGTGGAGGACATCATTGAACACTGTCCCCGGGAGATCATCAGCCTCATGGAGCAGTGCTGGCAGGCAAGCCCGGAAGACCGGCCAACATTTCCTGGTAAGAGTATCTTGTGTGCCTGTTCAGGACACATCCCACGTGGTGGTACTCCTTAGTGAAGTGATGCCAGCATATTAGTTACTTTTGTTGCTGTGACAAAATACCTGACCAAAACAACTTAAGGAAGGAACGGTTTGTTTTGGCTCACAGTTCAAGGTACAATCATCATGGCAAGAGGTCCTGGCAACAGGAATGGGAGGCAGCTGGCCATATGCATCCAAAGTCAGGAAGCACAGGGCAGTGAATGATGCTGCTGAAACTTGCTTTCTCTTTTTATTCAGCCCAAAGCCCCAGCCCGTGGATGGTGCTGCCCACATTCAGAGTGGGTCTTCCCTGCTAAATCCCCTCACAGACACTCCTGCAAGTGTATTTCCATGGTGATTCCAAATTCAATCAAGTTGTTTATAAAGACCAACCATTACAGTCAGGGATGTAGTTTGAGTTCCACTTTATGGATGGTTTCGTATTGATTTGCCAGATTTTAAGCGTACTGTCAATGCAAAGCGCCATCCTTCCGAGAGCACAAGGCTTCTTCATTGTTTATTTCCTTCTTTAGTTTTGAAATTAACCCTTTTGATGTATTGAAGCATATGTAAAGCTTTTCATCTTATGTATTTTTAAGTATTCAGTTCAGTGGCATTAAGTCCATTCCCATTGTTGAACAGTGCTCACTGCCATCCATCTCCAGGGTTTCCATCACTCCACACTGAAACTCTGTACACAGGAAGCATTAACTCCACTCTCTCATTGCTAGCCCTTAGTGGCCACCATTCTGTTTTCTGTCTCTGTGAACTTGACCACCCTGAGTGTCTCATATAAGTGAAGTCATACAATGTTTGTGCTCATATCCAGATTATTTCATCTAACATGTCATCTTCTAGTTTTTTTCATGCTGGAACATATCAGAGTTTCCTTCTATGGCTGAATAACATTTCCTCCTGTGGAAAGACCAGTTTTTGTCCATTAATCTGCTGATGGATACTTGGGTTGCACCACAGACCTTCTGTTTCCTCACTTCTTTCTTTTATTTCTCTCCCCTTGTTTATCATCTTGTTGGTATTTTTAGGAATATATTTTGACATTTAGAATGGCCCTGTAGTTGAGGGGAAAGGAAGGAGACATGGATGTTTGACCTATTTCTGTATCGTCTCATGTCCCTAGATCTAAGAATGTGGGAAGTGGAGCAAAGGAAAGAAGTCAGGCCAGGAAGTAAGATGCAACAGGAAGGCATGAAGGAGCCTAGAGAGCATCTTGCTCCCTTATTTCTGAGAGAAAGCAGATCCAGAGCTCTGCCCGTCATTCCCACCAGTGGATCATGGGAGTGCTGGTTTATTGTCAGTTTTATACATCCTCCATCAGCCTTAAGCTTCTAGCTTGGTTTCTTCTCATCTTTGCCTTTCTCACTTTAAAAATTAGAAGTTCTTGGGGGCTGGAGAGATAGCTCAGCAGTTAAGAGGACTCACTGCTCTTGCAGGGGACCTGGGTTTGATTCCCAGCACCCACATGGTGGTTAACAACCATCTGTAGCTCCAGTTCCCGGGAATCTGATGCCTTCTTCTGACCTCCTGAGGCATTGCATGACACAGGTGCAGTTGCACACATGCAGGCAATACACTTGTACACATAAAATAAAAATAATAAAATATTTTTTAAAAATAAAAAAATTAAAATTAAAGTTCTTATTTGGGGATAATTGTAAATTCATATGAAATCATTAGACATATTACAAAGATGGAACACATGCTTCATGTGATTGAGGCCCTAGATGTCATCCCCAGCACTAGAAAGAAGAAAATCTTACAAAGAAAACCCATGTTCCCATCACTCAGTCATCCCTCGTAGATAACATCTCACAAATGTACACCACAGTATCACAGCTAGGATGTAGACTTTGGTATGTCATGTCACAGAGCATTCCCATAACCACAAGGATCCCTCGTGTTGCTGTGTGTGCATGCATGTGTGTGTGTGTGTTATGAATGTATGGGTGTGCTCAACTGTGCATGTATGTAGAGGTCAACATTAGGTGTCCTTGGTTATCACACTCCATCTTCTTTCTTTAAACAAGGTCTCTCACCGAACCTGAAACTTACAGTTTCAGCTAGGACAGCTGATCAGTGAGCCCTCAGGACTACCTCTCTCCATGCTCTTGATCATGTCCATTCCCAACTTACCCTTCCCATTCCACCCTGTCTGCCCCAACATGTGCTCCTCCCACTGTAATGTCCTCTCCCTTTTTAAGTAACCCAATTAGTCCAATTAGTAATGATGATATAGGTGCATGGACAACCTGCCAGCCACACTCCTGAAGAAAAATTGCTCCCCATGTCCCTTCCCTTGCAAAATGAATTGCCAGTAGCTCCTCTCCTAGGGATGAGCCTCATGAGCCCCTCCCTGATCCATGCTGGAATTTCTGACTGCCTTGGTCTTGTGCAAGTCTTGTACAAGTAACCACAGCTGCTGTGAGTTCTTGAGTGTAATAGCCATGTCATGTCAGAAGACAGTATTTTGCAGCGTCCTCCCTATCCTCTGATTTTTCCATTCTTTCTGCCCCCTTTTCCATGATGTTCCCTGAGTCTTGTGGGGGTTAACATGGATGTCCCACTTAGGGCTGAGCACTCAACATCACTCATTATCAACATTTTAACCAGTTCTGAGTCTCTGCATTGACTGCTGCCCACTGCAGAGAAAAGCTTCTCTGGCCAGGATTGAGGAGAGCACTAATCTATGGGTGTTGGCATATTTAGAAGGCAGATTGACAACAAATTCTTTTTGTAAAACAACAGTAGTAGATTCTCCTCTCCTTAGACCTATGACCTCTCCAACCATGGGCTTTTGACCAAGTTTACAGTACCAGGCATGAATTCCATCTTGTAGATCAGGCTTCAAATCCAATCAGAAAGTAGCTGGTTGCCCCCTTAACCGGCATGCCACTATTGCAGCTGTAGGCAAATCTTGCCTGGCAAGTTAGTTAGTAGCATAGCATTCCAGGCTCACCACTGGGTAATACCATTAATGACTTTTCTTTCCCAGCAGTCTGTATAACACCTTCCAGTACTATAACAGCTAGCCAACAAAGAGGAAGTTCCCAGATCAGTTCCACTTGATTTCTTTATGTCCTGCAACCAAAGTGTCCTCAGCAGCAGGATCCTACCATCTAGCTCTGATAGGGAACCAAGAACAATGGTAATAGCCTGTATTGTTTGGGGGGCTTTTGTGGCCCCTCTGTCCAGTAACTTGTAAGGAGGTATACCATGCCTGGCACTGAGATTTTCAACCTAATAACCCCGTCTTCTATGGAAGTATTGTCGACACATACAGGATACTAGTGTTCAAACTCCTTTTTTAAAAAACTATATTTTAAAATTAATTTTAAAAGTAGTGGATTTCCATAAGGCTTTTTAATACATCATTAGTTTTGGTTGATCTCTTCCCAGCCCTCTCTCCTCTCCTATTTCCCAACTCTAATCCCCCGTTAAACCTTAAACTCCCAGTATTCCCCATGCCCAATACTTCCATAGCTTATGTGCTCTTCTATCCCCTCACTCGCATAAGGCCTCTACCCCTCCTCAAATGGGCCTTTTTTAGCTTCCTGGCCTCTGCAAACATTCCATATTAAACACACAAATCTGAAAATTCAAAATTCAGGCTCCACATAGAGAAAACATATGGTGTTTGTCTTCCTAGTCTTGAGTTACCTCATCAAGTACAGTATTTTCCTGTTTTTTTTTTGTTGTTGTTGTTTGTTTGTTTGCTTACTTGCTTTCTTGCTTTTTCGAGGAATTCTAAGTAGTATTTTTAGTTTTGTTGTCCATGTGTTTATTGAGAGAAGTGCAGTTAATGTTTGTATGCTAGTCTTGTACCCTTCATCCTTGTTAAACTCATTTATTCTAGAAGATTTTAAAAAGATCTTCATGCCATCTCCAGAGAGGGGCAGATTTATTTCTTCCTTTCCAATCTGTGAGCCTGATATGTACCATTAGCCTTGATGTAAATAGTTTATGATGTAACATCATATGCAAGTATGGAGAATTATTCTTCTTGAAAAGTTTGGTGTATTTCTCCCATGAAATTATATGGACTGTGTCCTAGTCTGTTTCTTCATTGCTGTGACCAAACACTCTGACCAATAACCAACTTGGGGAGGAAAAGGTTTATTTGGCTTACATCTCCCAGGTTACAGTTCGTACGGGAGCCCAAGGTAGGAACTCAGGGCGGGAACCTGGAGGCAGGAGCTGGAGCACAGGCCATGGAGGAACACTGCTTACTGGTTTGTTCCCCTGGCCCCTGCTCAACTTGCTCTTTATCCAACATAGGCCCACCTGCCCAGGGGTGGCACTATTCACAGTGGGCTAGGCCCTCCCACATCACTCAACAATCAAGAAAATGCCCCACAGACATGGCCACAGGCCAGTCCAATGGAGGCAATTCCCCAATTGAGGCTCCCTCAACCCAGGTGTGTCAAGTTGACACTAAAACTATCCAGCACAGACTGGGAAGGTTAGGATTAGGTTCTTAACTTTGAAGTCAGTTTCCTTAATGGTTTTAGGATTATTCAAGATTATTTGTTTCCTGTTAGGATAATTATGCTACTTTGCGTTTTTGGAGCATGTGGTATATTTCATCTAAATTCTCAAGTTTCTGTCTATAAAGCTTTTTTTTTTAGCATATCTTATATTCATGCCTACAGAGTCGATGATGTTACCCATTTTTCCATTCTAGACATTAGTAATTTTATAGTTTCTTTTTCAGTCTTCTATAGGTTTATCAATTTTAAGGATTATTTGAAAGAACTGTTTTTTGTCGGATTTATTTTCTCTTGTTTTTCTAAGTTTTCTAATTCATTGATGTCTGTCTGCTCTATTATTTCCTTCCTTTTGCCTGCTTTGTGTGTATTTTGCTCTTCATTTTCTGGGGTTCTGTGGAAAGACCTTGGGTTATTGATTTGAGTCCTTTTCTCTTTTCTAATGTATTGTCAGAAATGTAATGTTTACATTTAT